TACCATCATATTCAAGATTTGTCTTGAGGGAAGTTTTGGGAAGAAGAAGATCTCTTTGGTGTCAAAGGACCCGGCTCCTCCGCCGTACAGGGGAAGGTGAAAGTGATTTTGTAAGGGCTTCTCCGCCTAGCTGTGGGGGCTAAAGAAGAATCACTAAAGGTTTAGTGTAATACTCGAAGGGTGCCTCCGAGAGTGGACGTAGGTCATGGTTTGACTGAACCACTATAAATCGGTGTGTTCTTTCCTTTATTATTTCTGCACTTTATTTCCGCATTCATTTTTATTGCGATTAATTGCGTTGGTGAAATTAAGAATCTATCTTTTTATTATGAATGAAATTCGCTTCTACATAGAGTTATAAAAAGAGTTTTCTTTTCATTAAACATCCAATTCACCCCCCTCTTGGCGCATCTCGAAACTTCAAAAAATACACTCCATATATTAAGTTTTAGATTTATTAATGCGAAAACCTTTAGACTCTAAAGTTGACCTACATAATTCAAGTTTACCTTCAACTCCCTTTCTACTATTATCAATTACAAGAAGAATATTATCAGCAAAAAGCATATACCAAGGTACATTCTCTTGCAAATGTCTAGTAAGAATATCCATAACATACTAGCTAGAGAAAAAAGCATACAACAAAATACATTCTCTTGTAAATGTCTAGTGAGAACATCCATAATTAAAGCCAAGAGCATACACCAAGATACATTCTCTTACAAATGTCTAGTGAGAACATCTATAACAAAAGCAAAAACATACACTAAAATTTATTCTCTTGAAAATGTCCAGTAAGAACATTCATAACAAAACCAAAGGCATACACCAAGCTACCCTCTCTTGCAAATGTCTAGTGAGAACATCCACAGCAAAATCAAAAGCATGCACTAATGTTCATTCTTTTGCAAATGTCTAGTGAGAACATCCATAGCAAAATCAAAATCATACACCAATGTTCAGTCTCTTGCAAATGTCTAGTGAGAACATCCACAGCAAAATCAAAAGCATGCACTAATGTTCATTCTTTTGCAAATGTCTAGTGAGAACATCCATAACAAAAGCAAAAATAATACACCAAGATACCTAATTTCTTACCGGAGGCAACGACCTTCCCTTACCAGAGGCGGCGAGTAGAGGCAACTAACGGCGAACGGTGCGGTGAAAATCGGCAAGGGTTCAGTCGTGTTTAGGTAGCTCTCGGATGCGAGAGAAGCTATCTGAAGGAAGAGGGAAACAAATGAGAAGTCTGACGACGGACGGGTGGAAATAGGACTTACCGTCAAATTTTTCGGCGGATTATCTGTCGGTTTGTTGACCTGTACAAAGAAATAAAAAAAAAGAAAATAAAAATACCTTACCTGCTCTGCCGAAGCACGTCGCACGACCTCCTCCCACGATCGAAGTCGCGTCTCACCAGACGGCCACGATCCCTCCTCGCGACGTTAAATGCACACAAGAAGGAGGCCTTTGGCCTCTCCCCCCCCCCTCACTCCCTTTCTCTCTCGCTCTCGCTCTCTCTCTCCCGACAAGTTCCCTTCCAGGTCGGATCGAAAGTTATGACATTTGATCCAGACAAAGAACTTGAACTCACACTTAAACTCGTGCTATACAACATTAAGTGAGAGTTGTAGACTCGATGAGCACGAGTATAGATGAGACTTAACTCGGACTCAAACATATGCAAAGGACAAGGTTTGAATCATGTCCAAGGAAACTCAAACTACAAGAACATTCGTACAGTCAAAAGTGACTCAAAGTACGTTATAAGATCTCGATGCACAAACTCCTACAACAATCCCTACAAATGCCTGTTGATTGAGATGACAATACTAGAGACCAGCAATAAAAAACATGTCCTCTCAAACAAATACAATCATCAACCCACCTGAGATTGGTGAAAGGTGGATATGATACTGATGTCAATGGGTCTTCTACAAATACCTTCAGGAACTCGTAGTGGATACAACGGATCCCCGCAAATATATACAAGTCGCTTGTGGTTAACAATAGTGGGTATATCGTAGGTACAACGAACCACTGTGGGCACAAGTATTGATATCACCTACGACATTGGTGATCAAGATCTTCAGGTATTTCGGGTACAAGGGCGACTCGATATACAAAAAATACACTCCCTGGTAGAATCAGAAAGAATGTTTGAACAAATTAGAACCAAACTTCATGGTGTTCCAAAGTCTCTTCTTAGTTCTATACTTAAGAAGAAAACAGTTCTAGTGCCCACAAACATCGGAAATAACAGGTCTATTACACTGATGATCTTAAAAAGAGTTCTTTCCAAATCAACGGTCATTGACTCCAAAGTCCAGAAAGTCCCGTCCTCGGTGAATGAGAAAAGGGGAGACAATATCAAGATGAGGAGGTGCCTTTTGACAATCCACAATGCTACGCCACCGGACCCGCAATATCCTTGCAAGCGGGTAGAAGACGTTTACAAAATGTTTCAAAATACCCCCGTACGTGCACTATAGTTTGTTTACACATAGGTACATTAAAAGGGGGTAAATAAAATCTCAACTCTCATGGGCCCCGGCGAGCGTGCTATTGGTACACACGTGACGTCTAGGGATGCTGCGCGGATCAATAAGTGAATTTTAGTTCGAGCCTGATCCTTTTATACGGATCAATAGAAGTCGACAGGGTTTGAACATTCAAACAAATACATGGTTGCGGGGACCGATGTATTTGTTTTAATACATTCATATTAGACATTCAAGGCCTACAATCAAAAAGAATTCACTAAACAAAAGGCACGAGGCCTACGAAACCCGATCCTCCTAAACATGTAAATAGGAGTAGACAAGGTTCAAACCATCGGATAAATATGCGATCACGAAGTCGACCGGAATATTTATCTTATACATTCATATTAGGCCTTCAAGGCCTTCAAGAAAGAAAATTCACAAACAAGGGCACAAAGCCTATGAAACCCGATCCCTTATCGGTAAGTTGATAGGGTCGACAAGGTTCAATCAACAAATGAAAATGACCCAAAAACACCTCGATGATGGCCGTGTTGAATGCATATCTCAACCGGAAGAGTTCATTCCAAATATTTTCAAATGCCTCCCAAGCTCCATCCAAAAATCCAAATTTTCAAATTCCGTCCCAAAGTCAAGATATTTAAAATTCGAAATCAATCCATTAACACTTAAAGCGTAAAATTCATCCACCATCCGCAACAGTTTGCCAGGGTGGACAAATCAAAATTTACTTCAGCTCACAAAGAGCCAAATGCCTAGTCGAAAATATAATTAGGATCCATTCTCAAACAAATCTCCTGCTAGTAAGGACGTGGTACGTGTCATCTAAACGGTGATTTTGCCGCCAAATAACACTGCAGGATAAACGGATATGACCCGGGGCCCTCTGAACCGAGTGCTTTTGCCGCCAAATGGCACCACGAAATACCGGTTATGGCCAGAGCCGATACGCTCCTTAGTGGCATTAAATCATTGAGATATGAATCAATAGGATATGATCGACAGTGCACAAAGCCCTCTGTCAGCTAAGGTGGATTCAAATTTGTCCCCTTAGACAAACATTCAACCCAGGTCTACAAGGTCCCCTTGACGAAGTAACCCATGGCTGCCGACAAGGTTCCTTCTGTCTGGTTGGGTCGACTACCTCCTCTGACTAAGTAGACCAGGGACCACGATGGCCTGGGATGACGGAACCATGGGATCTTGATCGGGTCCATCATCCATTCCCCCACCATCCGCTTTAAGTGAAAGATGGTGGAAATTTCTATTTTTAAATATCAGAACTTCCAATCTTCAATACCCAAACCCATGCTGCTACTATACGCCAGATAACGCGTATCTCTAAGTATTTGATTGATGACTAGCCTTAATCGAAAGTTCACTCTCGTGATCGGGAGGGGTAATTAACTATAGGGGCTTGCGCCTATAGGAAACCAGAACTCATATCATAATGTCCTCCCAAAATGAGGGCGAAATCTCTGGGTAGTGTCTTATCTACAAATCCATATGCTTTCCAAAATTTACCTCGGAATTTATTCAGTTAAAACTCCCTCGCCAAATAAAAGAAAAGCGAGCGAATGTCGGGGCTGAATTTTTGGAGCCCACAACTTGCAATCCTCCTCCGCTAACCTCCACTTTCGAGAGTGAGTGAAGGATCTCAAGGTGAACTATCTATATTTTAAACTTGTGGCTTTTGTTTCATTAGAATTACCTATTAGTCATTGGTTGTTATTTTGCAAGTCCTATTAATCTCAAGTTGTAACCTATTGCTATTGTTTAATCACTCATGTCATCTTCTTAAACTTTCACTTGAGTAAACTAGGAGTTTGTTGGTAGTAAAGCAACGTTTATCACTTATATTAATATCTTAATTGCAATTCTTGTCTTTCAACATTCAGTATCACATCAGAGTTGCCTTAGATGGTTTGGTCACATAAAACGGCGGCCTTCCGATGACCCGGTTAGGATAATAGAGTTGTTAGATTTGACTTATGTTAAGACAGTTAGAGGTAGACCTAAAAAGACTTTGTTAGAAAATATTATAAATGATGTTTCTTTATTAGATTTAAATGAGAATTTGACTTTTAACATAACACAATGGAGAAAAATGATTCATGTAGCCGACCTCACTTAGTGGGACAAAGGCTTGATGTTGTTGTTGTTGTTGTTGCTGCTGCATCGTTTATGGGTGATATATCTTAGCAGATTTTTTCTCACCAAAATTATGTTAGGTCATGACACATCCCTTGTAAGTCACACTCTAAGCAACTGTAAAATTCAATTTTGAGCTCTTTGTTTTAGTTGATAGAAGTTTAGGGATTAATTGTCAGCCCAACAATACTCCTTAGACCTTTCTCTAGTAATGGTGGTTTCAGAGATGGTGTTGTTTTCTATGATGATCAATGATGGAGTTTTTGTTTTGAAGAACATTTTTGCAATGGCTTTGTTGGGTACCATCTGATCATATATTGCAATGAATTGTGGTTTTTTCTACAGAATGTTCACCATGTGGGTCAGCCAATGCCCGGTGAAGAGCAGGAAGATATTGTCATGACCAGTACTCAGAATATCTTGCTAAACATGACATGTCCATTAACTGGAAAGCCAGTCATTGAACTTGAGAATCCAATCCGATGGTAAAATTACTCCCTTCTCTATTTCAAGATTCTTGCTGTTCCACTATGCTTTGTAGCTTTTAATATCTAATTAGTATTACTGTTCTTTTGAACTTGTGGAGTCCTACAAGCTATAGTTTATACTGCCTAAGTCATATTAATCTGAAATAAGGGGGCAGATGCAATTATCGAAACAGGATGTAATATCAAAAAAGGATTTACACACATACCACTAAAGTTTTATATATCTATGTATCTAAAATTTAAATTTTCATATTTATTTATATATATCATTTTAATATTTAAATCATATCAAATTATATACATGAAATGAGATGTTTTTTTTTTAAAATAAATTAATATTAGTAATATTTTTATATGATTTATACAACAACAACAACAACAAGCCTTTATCCCACTATATGGGGTGGCTACATGAATCCTTTTTCTTCATTGTGTTTTATTAAGAGTCAAATTCTCATCTAAATCTAATAAAGAAAAGTCATTTATGATATTTTCTAGCTAAGTCTTTTTAGATTTACCTCTACCTTTCTTAATATAAGTCAAATCTAATACATCCACTTTCCTGACTGGGTCATCGGAAGACCGCCGTTTCGTGTGACCAAACCATCTAAGACGACACTCCCTAATCTTATCATTTTAGATTTGCATTTTATATATGTAAAAGTAAACGTATAGGCATTAGACATATAAATATGCACAAATTTGTGAAATGTATGTAAATCCTCCTATGAAAAATAAGAGATGGAAAGCCATTTTCTACCTTTGGCATTTTATTTTCATTATTATTATTGATCTCCTTTTCTTTTATTTTTGTATTTCAGCATGGACTGTAAGCATATCTATGAGAAGGATCCAGTAATGCATTATATTAGAACTAAAGGACAAGCTCTATGTCCTGTTGCAGGTGAATCAATCATTTTGTCTTCGTTTATAAATTCTTATTCCCCTCTCTATCGTTCTATAGAGAAAGAAGGATAAAAAATGATCCATAAGCTATGTGGAGCCATTTTAGTCCCCATATTATCTTCTATATTTAATTTAGTTCATTGGCTCTTTGAATTTGACTTAAAATAATAAATAAGTAGCTTATTTTGGATCATTTTGAAAAAGTTAAGGGACTAAATTAAGTGCATCAATTGTTAGAGATTAAGATTTCGTTTGGGATATCTTTTTTACTGTTTCTTAAAGCAATTTTTTAATAAAAAATTGCTTTAACCAGCAGTAAAAACATCCTCTCTCTCTATGTATGCAATTGCTTGGCTTGATCTCGTCTACTTTCAGGATGTCCAAAGTTCTTGCAAGAGGGAAGACTGATCTGTGATCCATTGCTTCGGATTGAAATTGAAGAAATTCGTGCAGCTTGTACATCAAATAAAGCAGTCACTAATGTTGAGGATTACACTGAAATTAATGACGACATAGATTGAGATATGAAGCAATGTATGATCGTCAGAGAGTACAAACCAAGTAAATATTAGATCTTAGTCTCCTTTTATCGCTACTTGACTTCACTGTTACATATTCCTGATTTTGTTTATAAGCTGTTCTTTCTATTATGTTTTATTGATCTTTTTTTTTTGTCATAAATGAGTGCGGTTTGGAGCACATAAAGAAGACAAGCCTGAGACCACTGCATTCTTCTTTTCTGAGACTTCCCCTAAAAATTTGGGAGCTTCAAGTAATGAGAGAATCAAGTAAGAAAGCTTAAAATAGTTATTTTGATTATTCAGATGTGATTAATTTAATATTATGGCATGACATCTTTTTAATTTAGGCTTTGTTTGCGGCAGCTTTCTTGTCGCTTTCTAAAGCAGTTTTCTAATACCAAAATTTCTTATTCAAAGAATTTTTGTACTAACATACTATTTTAGAAAACAACAAGAAAGCTATCACAAATGAAGGTAGTTTTAAAAATATTGGTAGGTAGAATAGATGTTTATAACGGAGAAGTCAATATCAATTTTTTTATAAATAGTATAAAAATAAAGTTTGTAAAAAGTACTTTTACAAAAATGTCACATTCAAACAACAACAAAAAATAATTTTGACGTTTCGAAATAGAAAAGACAAAATTAAGTCCTCCCAAACTTGGCCTTAGATTTCATTTGAGATGGCAGTCTAGAAATTATTTTGTGCGGACACCGGAGGGTTTGGAGACCAACTGAAACACGCCATGTTACTTGGCACCAAGCAGTATCGAGCACTGGTAATGAGCAAAAAGTAATGTGGCGTGTTATGTTTGGTCTTTGAACGCCGTCCGGGGTCCGCACATAATATTTTTTCCATTTTTAGTGCTTTGATGTAGAAAAATAACTTTTTCAAATTGTTATAGAAAATAACTTTCTTGTATATAAAGAACTTTTTGAAAGAATTGAATAAGTAGTGCTCAGATGAGAAATTGTAGTATAAAATTGACCTTAATTTAATTCCTGACAGAACATTTAGGATTACTTTGTATATTCAATGGTATATTAAGTTATAAAAATATAATATTCTGAAATTAAAGTAATGATATACAAATAAACAATTTATTAATTTAAAAATTTTTCTTAAAAGAAAACATAAATAAAAGGGACAAGTTTGTAGGTATCTGCATTTAAGCATATCAATTTTCTATAGATGTATTTGTGGCGTTTTGATTAAAAAATATATTATTTCTTTTAAGTCATTGATTTGAGACACACACTTGATATTTATTCTTTTATTATTCTAAAAAAATTATATTTATCTTTCAATCTTTTTATAAAATTCTTCATTCATTTTTTAATTTTTGAAAACTTCTAAAAACCTTTCAATTGAAGTAGTAAACATTTTTTCCTTGTAATATACATTTTGTAAAGCTAAGCATGTGGATAATGTTTTGTAAGAAATTGCAAGACAAGAAATTTATGAGGTCTACTTGAGGTAGTCGTAGTTTTTAATAAAATTGATTGTAAACTTATTGTGAATTTTTTTTTTAAAGTTATGATTATTAAAATTATTTTTCTATAATAAAAATTTCTAAAATATATTTAAAAAGTAGTCAAATAAAATTGTTCTATTTGAAAAAAAAAAAGAAAAAGTTGTTTTAAACAAAATTTAAAGTTTTGTTTGGGATAACTTTTGTAATTTTCTAAAATAACTTTTTTTAGTTAAAAAATTCATTAAAATAAGTTAAAAAAATAGTGGCCTAAAATTATCTTAAATGAAGCCTATGAGTACTATCATCATGAGAGTTGTCATTTTTGAATTTATTTTTAGATAATTATTTTTTAGTCATACAGATTTATTGGATTTATATTTCTGTTTACAAATTTTATTGTTCCAATCAAAATTTTCTAATTTAGAATTATAAAATTCACACTATATTTTTATAATATAATTTTTATTGTTCCATTCAAAATAAGCATGTATATATTTAATTTAATTTATCTTTATTTTTTTAATTTAAGTTGGGCTTCCTTCAAATTAAGAGCAAATGGCAGCAAAGTAATGAGGCTAACAATTGTGATCTTAAGAGTTAATTCTAAATTTTGTGTAAAATTAACATTAAAATAGATTTAAAATGTATTATTAAAATATAAACTTTCAGGAATTTTTATTAATTTAAATCTATATTAAAATATAAATGAAGGATTTGTGGTTATTCATGGAGTAGAGGTGGGGATAATGGAGACTTATCTCCCTCCATGACTAGCAAAATATGTGATTCTACTGATACTGTCATTTCCTTGTTGATTGCAAAGGCTCAACCATCATTGATGTTTAAGATGCAAATGTGTTGATGAAGGTTTGATCACATTGATCATATCTCTAGCTTAGAGTCAACAATTTTTCTTCTTATTACGAGTGATGCGAATGAAATGTTGTTTGTTCTTTACTATTTTGATGGAGGCACCACTATGATCGTTCTATTGATTGGTATTAATTGCAAATCAAATCAGATTTAATCAAATTAGACTTAGTTTGGAAAGCCGTGATATTGTATTAAATTGAGTATTTATTATTTTCTTTTGTTGTTGATTTGATTATGAGTTAAATTAGGATGTTGTTTTCTAATTTACTGTATCTCCAATCTATATATAGAGCCCTAGAGACTGGTGTTTAGCATAAGGGAGAGAGCTCGTTGTAATTTTTACTTTTCCAATTTTAGTGAAATCATCATCTCATCACAGTTGATGTAAGCATATTTGCCGAAACATGTAAATCAACGTGTTTTGTGTTGTTTTGTTGTGTGATTTTTATTTCCACAACAATTATGTGCACAACAATTGGTAGTTGAGCCGGATTCTGAATTCGGTAGGATTTACGGCGGCGGCTTGGAGACTTTAACGAAGGTTATATTGTCTGTTTGGGATGAAGGATATGTTCGTTCTTCGCTTGAAGTAGAAAAGTAAGCCGGATTGGTGCAATTCTAGCATCATGAGACAGCTGCAATTTGGTATAGGCTATGAGATCCGGTGGAGCCATTGATACATCCTCCTCGTCGATGGAGAAGGTGTCGATTTATTAGGTGTTACACATCCAATCAAAATTAATGTGATAAAATTTGACGGCAAAGGGAACTTTGACATGTGGCGATGTGAGGTGATGAATGCACAATGTTCTTTAAATTCGAAGGAAGTTCTGGCAAAGGGAACTCAGACAAGGTGCTCCTTCTATTGATCGCTCTCGGATGAGTACAAAAAGTTCACGACGATGCTCATTCATGGGAAGGAGGTCTTGTACTATGGTGAGGTTAATATTGCATTGTTGAATAACTAGTTCTGACGTCAGGATAAGGAGTCAACAAAGAAGGATTCAGCTGAAGCACTCACATTCCAATGTGGAATATCTAAAAAGAAGAAAAATAATAGAAGGTGAAGCAGCATGAAGCATGGAAATTATCGTGGGCACATTTTTTGAGGAATCAGTGTGCTTTTTATTTGATGATTGATCACTAAAAGAAGGATTGCCCGAAGCTAAAGGAGAAAGGAAAGAGAGTTTCCACGGAGACAAAGGTGAACATTACCATAAAAGAATGTGAAGGAGACTCTAATGTATCGCTAACAGTAGTTCCTTAAGGCCTGTACACTAATGGTTCATATTGGATTCTTGATATTGGTGCTACCTATCATACTTTTTCAAATAAGTAGCTATTCTATATCTACATGGAACTTGATAGTGGTATTGTGACTATGGGAAATGGTTAAACATGTCGTATTGTTGGTGTAGGGAGCATTTTCATTAAAATGCATGATGTATTGTGAGAGAGCTAACTGATGTGAGACATGTTTCACATATCATGAATAATTTGTTATATGATGGGGCTTTAGAGATTGAGGGCTTCAAGATATTAATTGAGGCAAGAGTTTTGCAGATGTATCATGGAGCAATGATGTTTTTGAAGGGAATCTGTCGCCATAACCTTTACTATCTTCATGTAAGAACTGTGATTATAACAGTTACTGCTATTGATGATTCTTCTGATGCTACTACATTATGACATATGCGGCTAGCTCTTGCTTGAAAGGCTTCTTTTATGACTTTGGAGAAGAAAGGGTTTATTAAAGGAGCAAGCAAGTACAAGTTAAATTTATGTGAGCATTGTGTGTTTGATAATAATACATGTGTATCATTTGGTACTGTCATCCACAGCACAAAAGATATTTTGGAGTATGTTTACACAATATTTGGGGCCCAACAAAGACGACATTATTTAGCAGGCGAGATATTTTGTCTCTTTTATTGATGATTGCTCCATATATGTTTGGGTGTACACCATGATGAGCAAAAGTAAGGCATTGGAGATCTTCAAAATTTGGATGAAGTGGATTGAGACTGAAACTAGCAAGAGGATCTAGTGTATTTCTCTTTTTGGATTTACCATGTAAATTTTTTTGGTATTTCTTATTATTTTTATTTGTGTTCGCTGAATTTTTGTATATGCTAAGGTATTAAGCACACTTTTATTGCAAAATTTTCTCACATAATAATATAGCATTGCAAAATTCATAGACTTTTTGCAAATTAAAAAAATCTCAAATACATACTAATAGTTAGATTCCCCTTATAATATGTATGATAAGTAATTATAATTTCAAATATATCCCCAAACTTAAAATTTTAATAATTTAATTCAATATTTGTAATTTTTTCTATATATATATATTATAGAATATTTTTATTTTTATTTTTAGTATAGATAAAATCATTCTATGATAGGTTATCAAATCAGAACTATTGGTATGGAGTCTAAACTTTCCTACTAAATTTATTTGCACGAATTTAAACTTGAATTTCTTAAAAATAAGAAAAGTTTGAAATGTTAGATTAAATTGTCCGTTCTTTACAAAAATTAAATTCCAGTTTATAATTTTTTCTTACTGCAATTCTTTTTAAAATTTGGCAAATTTTACAGATTAAATTTTTTTATAATTTGTAAAATCTTATATATAAAATTTCTTAATTGGTATCTTGAGTTTCCATTAAAAATTTAAAATGGCCTGCAAATTTCCCCAAAAGATGAAAAAAAAAAACAAAAGATAAAGGAAACAGGCGATAGCAATGCGTCCCTCCCCTCCTCCCGGAGTTTAGGAAACCAAAACCCTTATCAGCTTATCTTCTCTCTCTCTCTCTCTTCGCCGCCGTTCGCCGGCTCGTTTTCTCTCTCACGGCGGTTTCTCACTTCAACGCATCGAACTCTTTGATCCTTTGCCCATGCCATCTTCTTCACGATCTACATCGATTCCGCCGGTGAAGAGGCGGCGAGAGTTTTTGTACCGATCTAGGGCGCGGAAGAAGCATAAGCGTCTTGATGCCATCCGTGACGAGCCCACAGCTTCCTATATCGCCCACCGCAATCCCGCCGACGATGACGCTGCTGTCCTTCGTCGCAGTTGTCGCGTACGTCGCGCCCCTGATCTGCTGGATTCCTCTCCCGTCCCCTCCCCTCGTAAGAAGAAGCTGAAAGATCTCGATCCTCCAAGCGGCAGCGATGAGACGAAAAAAGGAAAGAAGGGGATGCATAAGAAAGATCCTGTTTCGCAGGTGCCTTCATGTTTGGGGAAAGAAGAGGACTGGAAGTCGAGGTTGCGGACTAGGGTTGGGAAGGGCTGGGAAAAGTCGTTATCTTCATCGCGTAGATCTGATGGGGTTTTTGCAGAAGTCAGGGTGTTGTATCCAGTGGTGTTAGAGGAGAATATTGGAGTGCTTAATTCGGTCAGGACCAGTCGGAGAAGGAAGAAGGTTGCTACTCATGAGTTATCAGAAGCTGCCAATGAAGCTGGTAACGAAGATGACACCTTACCGCTTGTAGACAAAGATTTTACTAGTGGTTCGCCTGCAGAGAAAAGTTCTCAGGTAGATGTAGTCGGATTGGCTACTGATGCTCAGCTTGGCAGTGAGCAAGCCAGGATGTTGGAGAGTGCTGAAAAGGTTATTGGGCTCGAAGAGCCGGAATGTGTAAACACGAGCGTGCAGGATGGAGGACCTAGTCATGCAGTTGTGGAGGAGGATACTCTTATTCTTCAATCCCGGGGAACAGAGGAGAATGGTTCTGATGATCATGGATCTAATCAGTCTTGCAAGCATCCTGATTCTTTTGATACTGCGGAGAGAGAGGGTGATTTGAAGGATAACATCCAGGAGACTGAGCATAGTTTGAAAGATCTTGACCAAAGAGTTTCGGTGTTAGATGAGAAGATTGCAAGCTTCAGAATAAAGGAAGGAAGGAGGTGTGGTTTGTGTGGGTGTGGGAGTGATGGGAAGCCTCCGAAAAAGCTGGTCCACGAATCTTTTGATAGTGAAAATGAGGCTTATGAAGGATCGACGGCCTCAGAGGAACCGAACTATAATGTCTGGGATGGGTTTGGAGATGGACCTGGATGGCTTGGTAAGCTTTTGGGTCCTTTAATTGATCGATTTGGCATTGCTCGTGTTTGGGTTCACCAACATTGCGCTGTTTGGAGTCCAGAGGTATGCTTCGCCATTCTAGAAATTGCCATTCTTCAATTAATGCTGCTATAGCACATTTCTTATCCACTTACAACATTTATTGACAAAATTTTTGTATGTATGATCATTTAAATTACATTATTTCTTTTCTTATAAGTTTGTCGAATAGGTTCATATTGTTTATTGGTATTGTCATGATGCAATCCTTTCCAATTTATTGGATTACTTGATAGGATATACATTAGTGCAAAGGGGATGATCAATCTCTCAGTTTCTTTAATTATTCTTTCATTTGAATTGTAGTTCTAATTATTGGAGATATAGCTTTGAAATTACTGGTTAGCTGAACATACAGAATTTGGTGCTATTGTTAGTATTCTGGTAGATACGTACTTAAGCCAGATCTTTTTCATTTTTAACATTTGTAGTCTCTTTAAGGTCGCTTGACATTTCTTCTTTAATTTGGTTTTTGACATTCCAATGAAGGTAATTTTCAAATAAAAAATCTTTAATGTTGGAATTGTGCAGTCAAGGTCATGATAATAGGCATATTTTGTATCACTTGTAACCCTCAATTAAAGGAGAAATTATTTCGTGCGGAGGCCGGTTATGCCCGGACTCCAATAAAAAACGTGGCACATGTCTTTGTACAAAGTGTATACAACTGTACACAATATATACAAATTACAAAATTATGTACATAATGTATACAAACTTATATACATAATATACACACTGTGTACACAGTGCATTGTTTAAAATTATGCAATATGAGGCTCACCTTGAGGCCCGCGTTAGCGCGATTCCAATAAAAAACGCTACGAGACTTACACCTTGAATTTTTTTAATGAGGCTTACGCCTCATCTTGGATGCGTCCCTCCTTAAGGCGCGCCTCACTTCGCTGGCATGAGGCGGACGCCTGACTTTATTTAAGAATTTTTTTATTTAAAATTTACCTAGTTTATATAAAAAAGCCCCAAAACATTCATGCCTTCTTGCATCCCAATCCGTAGCAACTTCCTCTTAATTGCCTCTACCTCCAGCCCACCGCCTTCACCATAGTCACCACCATCGTAGCCGCCGCAGAGGAATTGTAGAAAGCCGCATGCCACCACTATCTCCTCTTAAAATTTTAGAGTATTATATTTATGTTAATGACAAATATTTATGAAAGATGAAGATTACCGAAATAAATGAAGAAGCATATTGAGAGGTTTGGACCCTACAGGATGAGGTAGGGAAGAGATCTATTTGTTATAAGAGTGACTCAAATAAAAATCCCTTTAGTAATGATAGTACATATGATTTCTGAGTTGTTGCCAATATTTTCAGCTTTCTTTAGTAATTAAACGTATATAAGTGGCAACTCAGAACGAAAAAAACTAGAACCGAACTTGATGTTATATGATAATTTCATACAATTCATATATTTTATATCATTTTGTTCTTATAATATTTGGATTTCATTTCTATTTCATATCATTTATCATATAACACTTTACATCTTATACAATTTTTTATTTTATATGTATGTAAATTTGTTACTTCATAGTTTAATATAAAGTTAAAATGTCATCCTTTAACATATTATTTGGATATTATTTAAAAAATCACTTTTAACATTTATTTTGACTTTATGCAATTTTTTGATTTTAAGGTTTACACCTCAAAACGCCATGAGGCTTACGCCTCGCCTCAAGAATGAAAAACGCCTCAATATCCAGTTGCGTAATTTAAACCTTGACAGAATGTGCACAAATTTTTATACACTGTTTACAAGGATACATGTCATGTTTTTGTTGAAGTCAGGACATAACTTTACGTCTAGACTTCGCACGTAATAATTTCTCTAACTAAAGGGGCTTACAGTAAGGGAAGCTCTAGAGACATGTGAAAATTTTGATCATGCATTTTATAAACCAAATATATGTTAACACTATGAGTCTATTATTCTGACTACAGCATTGGGTATACTGATGTATGCTGTTTTGCAAAATTTTCCCTTTTTTTTACTTGTATCAGTAGTCTTTCTGAAAAAAACTTTTTTAATTGAATTTTTTTTTCTCTTTTTGTTATATATTTCAGGAAGTGTGTTGCTAAATATATTTTATGCTTATTGGCGTCTTAAAGGTATATTTTGCTGGCTTGGGATGCTTGAAGAATGTTAGAGCGGCACTATGCAGGGGCAGGGCATTAAAATGTAGTCGTTGCGGAAGACCTGGAGCTACCATTGGCTGTCGTGTTGATCGGTGCCCCAAAACCTACCACTTGGTTGTTTGCAATTCCTATTATCAGGATGGTCGATGTTTTATTTTCGGCATCTTTTATTTGCTAATTTTTTTAGTTCTTAATGCAGCCTTGCAGCCGTGTAGAGGGTTGCATATTTGATCATCGTAAATTTCTCATAGCATGCAGTGATCATAGACGTTTTTTCCAACCACATGGAAGTAAACATGTTCTTCAAATAAGGAAAATGAAAGCTAAAAAATTGAGGTTGGATTTGCGAAAGGTCTCAAATGAAGCCAGGCGAAAGGATTTAGAAGCTGAAGAGAAGTGGTTGGAGAATTGTGGAGAAGATGAAGAGTTCTTGAAAAGGGAAGGCAGAAGACTTCACCGAGATATCTTAAGAATTGCACCTATCTACATTGGTGGTTCTTCTGAAAGTGAAAATCGATACCCGGGCTGGGAATCTGTGGCAGGTCTAGAACATGTCATTCAATGCATGAAGGAAGTAGTTCTTATACCTCTTTTATACCCTGAGTTCTTTGGCAGTCTGGGTCTTACTCCTCCAAGGGGAGTTCTTTTGCATGGTTATCCTGGTACAGGGAAAACTCATGTGGTGCGTGCTTTAATTGGGGCCTGCTCTCGTGGCGATAAAAGAATAGCATATTTTGCTCGTAAAGGTGCTGATTGCTTAGGAAAGTATGTGGGTGATGCTGAGCGTCAATTACGGCTACTTTTTCAGGTAGCGGAGCGATCTCAGCCATCTATAATATTTTTTGATGAGATTGATGGTTTAGCTCCACGTCGATCTAAGCAGCAAGATCAGACACATAGTTCTGTTGTGTCAACACTGCTTTCCTTGCTTGATGGCTTGAAATCTCGTGGTTCAGTTATTGTGATAGGTGCTACAAATCGTCCTGATGCTGTTGATCCTGCACTAAGAAGACCTGGGAGGTTTGATCGTGAGATATTTTTTCCTCTGCCCACAGAGAAGGATAGATCTTCTATTCTCTCACTTCATACTAGAAGTTGGCCGAAGCCTTTATCTGGATCTCTTCTTTCGTGGATTGCAAATCAAACTGTTGGTTATGCTGGTGCTGATATACAGGCCCTTTGTGCTCAAGCCGCTATGCATGCTTTAAAAAGGAACTGTGCTTTGCAAAAAATTCTATCTTCTGCTGCGGAAGGTTTGATTCAAGGGAAACTCCCTTCTCTACCATCATTTAGGGTGGAGGAAAGGGACTGGCTGGCCGCTCTCAGATTGGCACCTCCTCCATGTTCTCGAAGGGAAGCAGGAATAGCTGTAAATGATATAGTTGCATCACCTCTCCCTGCCCATCTAATTTCATGTCTTCTACTACCACTTACTCATTTACTTGTGTCTCTATATATTGATCAACAAATCTGGCTCTCTCCTATGCTTTTTAAGGCGTCAGAGTTTGTTAAAAATGTTATAGTTTCAGCTTTGGAGCAAAAGAGTGTCCCTGTGACATTTTGGTGGTCACATCTAGATTATCTTATTCGGGAGCCTTTTATTGCTGAAAAAATTGAAAATAAGTTTGCTCAATTTGGTCTTATAATAGGTTCATCAGGATCTAATCATCAAATTCTGTTGGATGAGGTGGATGATGAATCTGGTGAAAATGAGAAGTTTGATTCCGTTGGAATGAAACCTTGTGATTCTAATATGCATAAAATGTTAATGCGAAAGAGCCCTCTTGGAGTTGGAAAATCCCAAGGATTTCGAATTCTGATATCTGGGCCTCCAAGATCTGGCCAACAACATCTTGCTAGTTGTCTTCTTCAAGGATTCACGGGGCATGAAGATATTCGGAAGGTTAGTTTGGCTACCATTTCACAAGAGGGACATGGAGATATGATTCATGGACTAACACAAATTCTATGTATGTTTCTCTCTGATTTGTCCTTTTATGTGCACATTAATGTAGGTTATCTTATGAATTGGACAGGCTTTACGTGCATCTATCCATGTCTTTTCCTTTTGTTGACTCGCTAATAGTTTGTGCTTCTTGAATTATATACTTCTAACATCTTTTCTTTAGGCCGTACGCAATAGCTTTTCAAAATTTTGCATGAAAAACTGCTAAAATTCTGAAGTATTGGTGGATGTCACGACGTCCTGTGATTAATTTTGACTGATATGATGCTGACAAAATTTAACTTTCCAGTTGCAATATCTCTGGCTGGTAATTTTTTAGAAACCATTAATGGCTCAAGGGTATTGAAAATTATTTGTAATTTGATTTATTCCTTTTATCTTCTCGATTAAATTTGCCCGTTTGTGATTTTATGCATAGGAGGAAGAAATATCATTGCCGTTATTTTCAACCTAGGTCTTGAGTTGCCTTGTAAAAGCTTGCGGCATATTTTTTAATTGCTGAAAATGGTATGTGCCATGACAAAACTACAATAACATAGTGTTACGAAGTATGGTGCATGCCTTATGCATGTTGGTATTGTGCAAGAGGCATAACATTCACGGTGCACATCATTTTACATTTATTCTGTTTTTCTGATCTGTTGAAGGAGCCAGTTGAATTTATTCATTTGGGGAAGCCTTGTGCTCTTTATGGTGCTTCACAGCCATCAACTTTTAATTTGACATTTATTTTTTGAGTTTCATTTGGAATTTGGAAATGAATGAAAATCAAACTGATCTTAAGCTTCAAGATATCGGCATGCATGTTTTATTATTTTCTTTAATATTTTAGGTATTTATAAAATTTTAATTATAAGGTATTTGAATTATATAAGAAATTTCGCATTTAATTATCATGCATGGTGGAAAACAATAGATTTGTCTAGAATAGGTTTAAATTGATCCTTAATTGTTAAGATCAGGCTAATGATTGAACATCCTTATGTTCTTTATTATTTTGTATTATTCTTAATGTCAAATTTATCTTATATTGTCATAAATGTATATTTAATTATGCATATGATTTATAATTTAAAAAATAGAGTGCAATCCAACATGCTTTTTGTATCATGTGCCATGGCTCAAAGAGACCTTGTTCAATGGTGTGTCATTCATTGTAAATAAAGAGTGTTGGTGGTGATTTCTTCAATACTTTATCAAGTGAGGACCTAGAGCTACAATTATTACTTTAAAATTAGGAGCATTTGACCTTAATAAGTTGGTCATTGGATTAATTAAGTCCACTATTTAAAATTGTGTAATAAGAAGCACGCCTCTGCGCAATTTGGACAAAAAATGTCTTGAGGTGCACTTCTCTTGAAATTTAAGTAAGCAAGCAAAATATCTGGTGGGCACCTCTCCTCCGCTTTATTTTACATGAGTTGTGCACATCTTAGTATTTATTTTTTCTTTAAACATAACATTAAATACAACCTAATATTAAACCTACCTTACCCTCACACACACATGCAAGCCCACAAAAATCAAGCGACCAAAGCTTCCTCAGCTCCATCTACACTGTTGTCAGTCTTCTCTCATGCCGCCATCCCCTTTTTTCTCTTTGCTAAGTTCTCTTCTTTCCACAAGGATTGCCACTTTCTCAACCCAATTTTTTCTCTAGTTGGTGATAACCTCTAAATTCTAAATTTTTCCTTGCATTAATATAATTTCTTTTCAAATTTTAGTTAGGGTTTCTTATATCTTTGAATATTTGCGTGTATTCAAATTTGTTCGGAAAAAAAATTTTTATGCTGGGATTTGGTAAGAAATTGGAGGCAATGATAAATCCATATTAAGTCATAAGAAGGATTCGACATAGAGACATAGTGTGTTTTCAAATTTGTTTTGAATAAAATTTTAATGCTGGGGTTTGGTAAGAAATTGGAGGCAATGATAAATCCATAATAAGTCATAAAAAGGATTCAACATAGAGACATAGTGTTAGGGGAAACAACAAAAATATGTTTATTTGAAATGCAATTTTTGTGAGGATGTGAGGATGTAGTTAAATGAGTTGTTACAAGATGAAGGAACACCTCTCAGACTCTTACTCAAATATTTTATCATGTGTCAAAGTGTCTGAAGCAGTAAAAACTGAGATATGTTCATATAGAAATGATGTTAAAACATCTGATATTACTCTCATCTATATATGACTTAAGAAACTTGGATTTTGAATGAGTTGAGTAATATAGGGAAAGCCACTGAGGAAATTGTGACTTGAGTCAGATTGGAGTGTCAGTTATGTTTGATGGCTGGTTTGACATTACGAATATAAATTTGATTAATATTTTGATAAATAATCCAAATTAAATTATTTCTTTTAAAATCTGTAGAAGTGTCTGTTCAAGCAAAAATTTAGAGCATGTTTTCAGATTGCTGGATGGGTGATGAGATTATAAAGCATTTGGTGGTACAAATTATGACAAGTATTGTTAGTACTTATTGGATAGCTAGGATCAAGTTGATATAGAAGAGAAAACATGTACATTGGACATCCAGTGCCACACACTGAATATCTCTTTCTAGAAAAAAAGCTTTGTGAGTTACCTCATCACAATAATGCCTTGATTAAAGCCCGGAAGATAAGCTAATTTTCTGCAATTATTATGCGGTTTTGGCTGAGGAAGTTTTCTATAAAACTTCTACATCCAGCTACAGTTAGATTTGTTACAGCTTACTTGATTATACATAGCATGCTGGAAGCTAGCCAATTATTGGTGGATGTGTTTACTTTCACTCAATTGTTTAATTGTGCTTAGGCTAAGAAAGTTGATGGAAAAGAAGTTAAAAATATTGTTCTAAATGAGATCTTCTGATTGAGTGTCACATATGCAATAACAACAACAAGGCCATAGGTTCATGTTTTGAGAATAGTGGATGCAAAGAAAAAGCCAACTGTGGCTTCATTTACATTGCAGTGGATGAGGCCAAGGAGTTGATAGCCCATAATTTAGAAGGTAATGATGCTAGCTATAGGGAGATCTGTTATATTATTCATGAGAAGTGGGAGATTCAACTCCACCAATTGCATGTTGCTAGATTTTACCTTAAAATTTAATTCCAGTATATTGAAAACAAGTTAACCAATCCTAAGATCAAATTGGAACCATATAAAAAGTCATACCATTATATGGATAGGTTGATTACTGATTCTATTGAGAGAGCAAATGTTGAGATGTAACTTGTGCTATTTAGAAATAAGGAAGGTTTCTATAGACTACCACAAATTAAAATTATAGTTGCAAAATATTTTTTTTCAGGTAATTATTAATATTTAATGTCTTAATAGAAATAAGGAAGTACTGTCTAAATTATAAATTTATAAGAGCTCACTACACATTTTTCTTTTAGAGTTATTTGAATGGTGGATCCAGTTTGATAACGACACTCCAGAGCCATAGGGTTTTGATTCTAAGATATTAGGACTTACATGCTCATCATTTGTATGTGTGAGTGTAAGTGAAGCACATTGACGTGTCTTGGAAGCAAAAAAAAGAAAAAATGCAGGAATACAAATATGGGGGCTGATTTTTGATTACTTCTTCAACAATAATGAAAGATATAATTGATCAACTATTCGAGAGGTGGATCAGTTCTCCCACAAGCCCTAGTTGTCGCTAGGAAACTCACACCAAATACTATAAAATAAACTGAAAACATATTTGATGATAAACCTAGACAAAACTCTCACTTAAATAGCCCCTACACACAATAAACACAATTGGAATATTCCTAAACATTATACACACAATTAAGAAACCTCCCTAAATAATTAAAAGGTCCCTAAACAACATAAAATAATTATGAAACTTTCCTAAACAATTAAGATATTCTTAAACATTAAAAACACAATTAGAAAACCTTCCTAAATATTTCTCCCTTGATTCATCCTCCTCACATAATAAATAATAGCTCACTTGGGCTCTACAAGTGGGCCAAAATCTTCCCCTTTGTAGCCCTTGGTTCCGCTCAACGAAAGGGTTGGTCCGGCTGGTTTGGGCTGGCCATGTTGCCCCCCCTAGCGTATCAATACTCTCCCCCCAAAGACGAACATTGTCCTTAAGATGGAAGGATGAGAACTGTCTCTTGATCATCTTATATGTCTCTCATGTGGCTTTATACTCTGAGAAATCTTCTCACTTGATTATTACCTCTTGTATTCCTATTTTCCCTCAACGCACTCTCTCTACTCTCAGTGTCATTTGTGAGCATAAAATACCGAGTACAATGTTGACGAAGATGGTAATCCTAGTCGATAGGCTACTGCTTCAATGCCCTCCAAAATCTCATAAGGCTCAAAGTATCATGGGGACAACTTCTCTTTCCTTCTCTTGGCTAGTGTTGTTGATACGTTAGGGGGGCCTACAACCAGGAAGAGGATCTATTTAGAAATGTTTCTAATCAAAAGAGAGTTGTTTAGGAAGGTTCTTAATTAAGGGGAGCTATTTAGGAATGTTTCTAATCAAGGGAGAGTTGTTTAGGAAGGTTCCTAATTAAGGGGGAATTATTATGAAGGTTCCTAATCAAGGTTGAGTTATTTAGGAATGTTTCTAATGAAGGGGAAATTGTTTAGAAAGGTTCCTAATTAAGGGGGATTTGTTCAAGAAGGTTCCTAATCAAGGGACAATTGTTTAAGAAGGTTTTCTAATTGTGTTTATACTGTTTAGGAAGGGCTTAATTGTTTAGTAAGGTTTCTTAATTGTGTTTATGCCGTTTATGAAGGGTTTTTGTATCTTGAGTCATAAAAGAAGCCTTTCATGTCTTCTATCAGTCGTTAAATTTATTCCTTGTATTGAAAATTATTTGTAATATGATTTAAGATATTCTTAAACATTAAAAACACAATTAGAAAACCTTCCTAAACATTTCTCCCTTGATTCGTCCTCCTCACATAATAAATAATAGCTCACTTGGGCTCTACAAGTGGGCCAAAATCTTCCCCTTTGTAGCCCTTGGTTCTGC